TCAAGACCAACAAGACCATAACCCAACAGTAAGACCAAGACCATGACCCAACAGCAAGAACAAGACCCAACAGCATACGAACCACCAAAGAAACGATGCAAAAACCACTAAAAAAATGACAAAGAACCTCAAAGGTAATAATACAAGAACTACCAAAAAAATGATGCAAGACTACCGAAAAGATGATACAAAAACCCTGAAGAAACAATATAAGAACCACCAAAGAAACAACGCAAGAACTACCAAAGAAACGATGCAAGAACCACCAAAGAAACAACGCAAGAACCACCAAAGAAACGATGCAAGAACCACCAAAGAAACAACGCAAGAACCACCAAAGAAATGATGCAAGAACTCTTGAAAAAAAAAACACAAGAATCACCGAAGAAATGAAGCAAGAAATGATACAAAAACTACCAAATAAACAATGCAACAACTCCCGAAGAAACAACACAAGAACTCCTGAAGAAATAACACAAGAACCAACAAAGAAATAACACAAGAATCACTGAAGAAATGATGCAAGAACTTCTGAAGAAACAATGCAACAACCTCCGAAGAAATGACGCAAGAAACGCTAAAGAATATAACTAATAAACTAACTAAAAAACCATTAAATAGCGAAAGAATAGAATACCTTTAATTCGACGATGAAACAAGACTTACTGAAATACACCACATGATGTCAAAATATGCACACGAACAACGCCAAAGCACTATATAAATGTCCATACGAACATGTAAAAAAGATCTGTAAAAAAAAAAAATTAAAAAATGTTAGTACTGTAGTAAGAAAACGTCAAAAAAAAAAAATTAATTAAAAAATAAATGCGATCTATATGATCGCCAATCTAATTACATAACCATATGACTGTGGGAGAGGAACAGTCATGTTGATTGATGATTCTGCTCCGCTTTAGACGTTTTCCAATTAAGGATTACAAAGAAATTGAAATTACACTTGATTGCATTAGCACTTACTTCAACTTCACTTATACACCCAACTACATCTATGACTTACCAGACTTACCATCTCCAGACTAGGATATTGTTGACAACTATGCACCTAATATATGATGAGTGAAACAAACTCACCCACCAACTTACTGTTGGATGAAATAATTACTAATACAAATACACTTAACTCAACACCTCCACTCCTATTTAAAAGAAATACAGATATCCAATTAGAAATCACAGTTTACAATGTCCAAGGAATTAATGTAAACCTTAAATACTCAACCTGGCTACAATATTGTAATGATCTAAATACCGGCATCATTATTATGACAGAAACAAAATTATCAGCTGACCATACCTACCTAGTGAGCTTAATTAACCCTTGGTTTAAAACTTATATAGCAAATTGTGATGAATATAATGCATCAATATGTCAATCAGTCAAAGAAGTAGCAATTGCACTGAAACCCTACTTACAACCCTATATTTACAATATAAAATCTATACCTGGCTATGCTTTAGCAATCGATCTGTTTTTCCCCAACAACAACAAGACCTGCATAATCGGTATTTATATTCCATCACAACTCTCTATACTGACAAATTCTGCATAACAAACAATAATTAACTGAATCCAACAGGCAAGATCCTTCAATTTCAACACAATTGTTGCAGGAGATTTCAATTCAAATTCAAATAAAAAAAAACCAACAATCCTTATTACTTACCTTATAAGCTCCAACCTAATAAGCTTACTTAATTTCTTTAATATTGATGATCCCACTTGGCAAAACAACAACACCTCTAGCCAAATCAATAATATATGGATAAACCAAGAAATAATCTTGGATCTTGTACAATCTTCTCTTTTATCATTATATTCATCAACCAATAGTAACCACCAAATTATCTAATCTCGATGGACAATCCCAAGCAAAATCTCAATACTCACATTAAAAAAAATAGAAGGAAAATATATATGTACCCAAAAACCACATAGGATAAATGGCAAAAATTTGAAGACTATATTAACACTCTTACTTTGTCAGCGTCCAGCACTTTTTCCACTATTACAAACCAAGCCTCAATGGATAAACTATAGAATAATCTTCAACAAACTATCAAACAGGCAGCCAACAAATATATTCCTTTTAGACTAACATGCCCAAAACCATTCAAAGCTTATACAGAAAAAGCAACCTTATTTGCTAAAAAGAATAAACAAAATAATTAATATAATCAGTCACCCATCTCCTCTAGCTCCAAATATCCTCTACCTACCCACAAACTCACAACACTACATCCTTTAATACCTTAGTCATAGCTTACATAGATAATACAACATGGATCACATCTAACAAAAAACAACTGGAACATATATTAAAAATTGCATACTCATTTTACTGTTTTGCAAATATCATAGTAAACCCAAACAAATCAACCCTTCTATACAACAATACTAAGGACAACAACCCCATTATATTTCAAAACTACCATATATACAACCTTCCACACAATAAGACTCTATGCTTTCTGGGCACAAATATTAATCACACTAAACAAAACTCAGTAGTAAAAAAACAACTGCTAAAATTTTTTAATTAGCAACTAAGCAAATTAAAATATTCTCATATCACCGAAAAGCAGGCAATATATATCATCAATGTTGTACTTAGTGCTTGGATCCAGTTTACAAAATCTGGATATATCTGGATATAAAAAGAATAACAGATACTCTATTTTTTTTTTTTTTTTTTTTTTTTTTTTATAATATAAAATGGCGTACTTTATTTGAGTCTATAATTACATAAATTAACTAAGTATTTACAATTAAGAAAGAATTTATATTTCTATAACTAGAAAGCAGGTTAGCTTTTCCTTGAATTTGCTTTTGTGAGTTTTATTTAAAACTTGAAGACTTTTTTGTAGCCTAGCCTTGGCCACCTTTTTTACAACTTCTTTATCTATTATGTTGTTTCCCCATCAGGCCTGAGTATACTAGTACCATACTTCATACAAGATATTAATATGCAGCCATATTGCGGCCTTTCTTCTACCATTGTTTGGTATGTTCTGTGCCATAAATATCTCTTCCAAACATTGTGGGATTGTGATCGATAATGAATTCTTCAAATGCAGATACCCTATTTTCCAAATGATATGGCTAATATTACATCTCAGAGTGAAGTGTTCTATTGTTTGCCTGTCTTCTAGGCAACTAGGGCAGCTTCCATCTATATTTTTATTTATGTGTCTAAGTCGATAATCTAAGGGAAGCACTTTGTTTTGCAATCACCAAAAAATGTCTTTCTTTTTATTCATTAACCTTTTGCTTTTCGACCAACTGAAGGGGTCCAAGGGGTTCCCTTGTAGGCATAGTGGGACCTGTACTATTGTAGGTTGTCTTGAAAGTTGTCTTAAGAAACTTGTTGCCTTTTGGATAGTAAATTGGTTACCGGATTTGTCATATATTTTGATTTGTGTAGTTTTCCAGGGCCAATTGTTGGGTAATAATACTGAACCTTTTAGCTTTTTCTATGCTGTTAAGTAAGGTTGCCATTCTTCTGGCCATCTCTTGAGTTTAATTGGAGACCTTGTTAGTGCTGCTACTATTAATATATTTCTTTTGTCTTGTATTCTTTGTGAGATTAAGGTTCCTTCAACATTGGCCCAGAAGCTGTTGGGTCTTGTTCTTGCTGTTGGGTCATGGTCTTGGTCTTACTGTTGGGTTATGGTCTTGTTGGTCTTGATTT